TTGTTTTATGTCCATGCTCCACTTCATCGTTTACTTTTGCTTGCTTTTCCTTGCATTTTTTTTGGTTTAAGTTGTTGCTGTTATAATTTTTTTCTACTCTTGTTTGTTGTTTGTGTATTTTTCATTTAATTTCTGCATTCATTTTCGTTGATGGCTGCATTCTGGCGCTTTAAGCTCCCCAATGGCGGTGCTGACGTCGCTGCTGTGCACATACTTCATTCGACCGACCGCTGCAGTCGCCGAAGCCGCAGCAGCAGCACCAGCATCAGAAGAAGCAGAAACCGTCCAATCGACCACTCAATGATTTCCCACTTGTGTGCTGTGTGACACCATTTTGCTCCTTTGCTCTTTCCACTTTCGCCAGTCGTTCCAAAACGCTCCGTTGCGATAATATGCATACAATTTTTGTCATTTAAAGATTTATATCTTTCATTTTCTTATTTCACCTTTGGAGAGATTACTCGGATAAAAGTTGGCACTTTGCTATATTAATACTCATATATCCCGAGTCCTTTTTGTTGTCGCATCCTGTTACTTTTTAACTTCCATATTTCTCTTTGCGTGTCAGGAGAGTATGCAGTTTTATGTTTTATTTTATTATTTATTGATTTTCTTGTTAATAATTGTGCGGTGATGAAAGAGTAAAGGCGCTCATAGGGGAAGAAGAACATACTTATAAACAGACTAAGAAAGTTTAGTAGACAGCTAAATGTATCGGTGATGGTTTAATGATGTTTATGAGAAAATCGAATTTAGGTGAATTATAGGCTTTTGAATATCGACTATCAAGTAAAGAATACCATGAACTAAATAAAACAAAAAAAAAACAACAAACTTCCAAATGCCAAATATCAAATACCGAATACCAAATACCAAATACTAAGTACCAACTACAAAATATCATATACCATTAACCAATACCAATATCAAAAAATTAATAAAAATACCAGGTACCAAATACCAAATACTAATATCATATACGTAGCACCAGATGACAAATTGAAAAAAAACCCAATTATTAAATACCAAATACCAAATACCATATGTCAAACACCCAATCTCAAATATCATACAGCATATGGTAAATACCATTTATCAAATACCAATTACCAAGTACCAAAATTCAAATACCATCAAATATTAAATACCTCATACAAAACAGCATATGGCAAATACCAAATACCGATTACCGAGTACCAAATACCAAATATCAACTACAAAATTCCAAGTACCAAATATTAAATTCCAAATATTAAAACTCAATTACCAAATACCAGCTAAAAATTACCAAATACCAGTTACTAAATTAACAGTACCAATTATCATATACCAAATATCAAAAACCAATACCAAGTACTAAATGTTGAATTTCAAATATTTAATATCAAGTACCAAATATAACCTACCAAATAATAATGAACACGAAATACTAAATACCAATTACCAAATACCCTTTGCCAGTACCGAATACTAAATACCAAATACCAAATACTCTTTGCCAATACCAAATACTAAATACCAATTACCAATTACTAATTATCCAATACTAGTTATCAAATTAAAAATACCAATTATCATACCAAAAAGACCAAATATCAACTACCAAATACTAAATATCAAATACCAAATTCTAAATTCCAAATAATGAATGCGAAATACTAGATACTAAATACCAATTACCAATTACCAAATACCAGTTACCATTATAAAAATACCAATTATCATACCGCAAATACCAAATGCCAAATATCAACTACCAAATACCCTTAGCCTATACCAAATACTAAATACCAATGACCAAATATTTAGCTCCAAACATTGAATACCAAATACTAAACACCAATTATGAAATACCAAGTTAAAAAATATCAAAAATTAAATTCTGACAAACATAATATTTTCAATATCTTAGTATTACATAAAATACCAATTTTGAATTATTCAAGCGCAAACCCCCACATTCAACAGAAGAGGATGAAATAGACACAAACACACACGCCCATACTGTCTGCGCACAAATGAGATATCAAAGCGAGCAAAAATAAAATGATTGAAATAAGATTTATGACCCATATGAGAGCAGAGGAGGGTCGACGAAGTCGTTTGTAGTTTCTGTGGTTATGCACACGTACAAACATATCCTTGAATTTCATAAATGTAGTACGTGTTTTTATTGAAATGAACTAGAGATGGTATAAGATTCTAGGAAACAAATGAAAGTGCTGCTGGACTAGGCTAAAAACGGATGCTTGTGGTCGTGATTGAAGTGCTAGAGCCAGGAGATATAGACTAGAAGTCAATTATTTGAGATGGTATGAAATGAGAGTAGAAGTGGAAAATTGTAATTCGTGTAGGTAAAACACGGAGTTACACAGGACGTGTCCTCAAATGAAAATGCATATTCTGATACCAAAGAATTTATAATTGAAAGCACTTTCTGCGCATACATTCATAACCAGTCTGATAAATAAAGCTCGAAAATAATCCTATGCACATGCACTCAAGCCATCCAATGGCAATAATGCCAAACTCTATAGCGCGACCAAAATACCAAAATTCGACATTTGCTGAAAGCAAATACTTTCCATTTTAACTGCATAAATGCATACTATATACTCGTATGTATGGTATTCGTATATGCATACGTGTATAAGTATGTGCGTATGTATTTATGAGGATTTAAGTATCACCCCATATGTATTGAAAGTGCGCAGCAATGCGTGAGCGCATAAATGTGCAAGGATAAATGAATACATATGCAATTTAATATACCCAACATACAGCAACTCTACTGATGTTTGTGTGTATGTGCGACAAAAAAAAAATACAATCATGACTTAACCGCACTATATACTACAACACTAACGGAAGATGAACTTTATTTTTTGGTGCGTGCAGATGAATTTTAACAGAAAATTCAAAATTTCTCTTTTTCACACTGAAATCTCTAGGCATACTTATGTGACTCTGTGTGTGTATATATGTGTGCGTGTGTGGGTGTGTAGCACTATATTCACCGCTCATATCTTGTTTACGCTTTTGTATTGTTAAGACGTTCATGCGTTCATACGTCCGTAGCTTGCTTGCTCGCTGCAATGCATTTATGAGAAAAATTTCATGGCGGCAGTGGGAGTGTGAAAGAGAATATATACACAGACAACAAACAGTGGATTTGCAGTGAATAATATGTGTGAGTGCGGTTTCAGAACTATACTTTTACCAACATTTTTTCTGGAATTGCATAACAAACACTACTCCAGCACAGATGCAAAATTTCAAACTACTTATTTCCTTCCCTTTTTGTTGTTTCACAGAAAGTAATTCGAAGGAAAAAACATAAAAATGACAGAAATTGTAATTTCAGTACTCCGTTTGCCTGTGCGCAAAAAGGCGTGAAGAAGACTCGCTCGCGCTGTTTACAGGCACGGAAAGCAAAGAAATAAAAAAGGAAATAAATATATGTAAAATAAATAAAGTAGGAAGGCGTGGAATTATCTCTTCCATACTGCATTCACTATTCACCATGCGATATTTATATTTTTTTCTATACTACACACGCACACTACAGAAACTTAAGAATTCTCTAAAAATATAGCTAGCTCATGGATGGAAATTCGGCAGATTAACTTCTTAGTCATATTTTGAGGCTTGTTGAAATTTTTTCAGACAAATTCATATGAATTCCTGACTTTGAAGTAAAAGTTTTCTGCACAAAAATCCTTCATTTAGAATGAAATAACTATACGATATTTCCAAACACCTTCACCTAGTGGAGAAACTTGGCTAAAATATCTTAAGTTGGTGGGAAGCAATTAGAAATAGTCAACGTTTTTTAACTGTCACTTAATGCTAATAAAATTTAAAAAAAAATTGAAAAACGTTGCCTACATTTAGGCGCCGGACAGCATATTAACACACCTACAAAATGAATCCCTAGTAGGTGAGACGGACGATCTAATTGAACAAACTAGTAGAGAAGATATGTATTTTTAAAGAAGGGAAATGGAAAACGATGCACTTATAAGGCTATAGAGAGGCGCTTATATATGAAAAGTTTGCTGCCACTCAATATATATAGCATTTTAGAAAATACATACGTAAGAAATCATTCTCTCTCTCGCTCTCAAAGCACTCAAGACAAAATGTGTCCTTAAAATATATTAAACCACTTTCAGTACTTTGAATTCTGAACAAAAATTTTTTTCGTATTGGTGCATAGGGCGAAGTCTTATCTAAGGGATAGTGGAATATGTGATCAGCGCTGTGCTAAAATGTGCCGAGTGGAAGGTATCGGAGGTGAACAATTTGGGATTTGAGATTTTGGGTTGAACTTATGTTTTTTTTTTGTTTATTTTAATAACGAAACTATACCTTTTATGGCGACTTTCTTTATAACAACTATTTATTAGGCTTTCCAAAGGCCACTGGTTGAAGTCTAAGTGTTATCAAGTGATAGATTTATCTATGTAAAAGGCATTATTTTCAACACACGATAGTTGAACGTCAAAAAAGCTATAGCTGGAATTTTATAATTTTCTTTAAGTAGCCTGGAATATTAAAGATGAATGAAATTTGAAATAAAAAAAGAACGCACTGCTCAAAAGTAGCTCATGACTTACAATCGCTGTAAGTGGAAATATTTAAATTTCTATAACTTGTGTAATAAGTCTGTCGATATATTTAAAAACCCATTTTGGTTTAAATAATTAAGAAAAAACTCTGCCATTAGAGATTTTCCCCTTACCAACTTTCATTATTTTAATATTTCCAGCATATTTAGGGGCGGAGAATTAATATTCATATACACACACTTTCATTTGTTTGCTTATTGCAAAATTATATATGTTTGTATACACCTGCATAACAATGAATCAAAAATTTCAATCTTCTTTTTTTGTCTTCTTTTCTCCCCTCTGCATTTTTTCACATCATTACTACGCTGCAAAAAAAAAAACCACAAAAAAAAAACACAAAAAAAAAAACAAAAACAATAACCAAAGATATGACAAACGGTGGCGTACAAGGACCTATTGAGGGTTACAATTCACTGGAGGAGCATATGCTCGCATTGAGCACAACAACACAATATCCACCCACCACAGTTGGTTATGTACACCCGAAGTGGATAGAGCCATACTTTGATCCGTCAACGCCGCGCAATGTCACCGCATTAATGGGCAAATCGGCATATTTGAGTTGCCGCGTACGCAATTTGGGCAACAAAACGGTGAGTACTTATGTGTAAACGTAATTCGTATGCAACCACACAAACACGTATTCACATACATACATATAGCTAGAGAGAGAAAAGCAGAGAGCATACACGATTGCACTTACTATACTTGGTCGGTGATAGTAGTGGAACTGCTAGTGAGAATTTATCAAATATTTGTAAAACACTGGTGGCAAAAATAACTAAAATGTTACTAGTTGTCTAGTGGTTAGTACAAAAGTTGTTTCAAAGTGAGTAAAACAAGCTTGTATTAAAAAAAATTAAAAAAATAAAATATATATATATATATATATATATATATATATATATATATAATTGGCACTTTGGAGGGACCTACAGTTTATACTTAGCCGCCTCCGAACGCCTGATGTTTTTTTACGGAAGATTTTATTTATAAATCGCATAATTTTTAACAAAGTCTAAAGTAAAAACTTTGGATTCCCCTTGCTTACCCAATTTCAATTCTTTTCGTAGAAAAATAATTAGATATTGTGCAAGGTTTCCATAATTTTTCTCAGAGTATAAAGAGAAAGGCAATAAAATAATTTGGTAGTGAAATGATGATTTTTTCGAAACACTTGTTTCTTATTAATCTTTCTTGCCTTTATAAATTTATATTAAATATAATTTTCTATTTTATTCACATCAAACCTCTATCCATGGCTTGATGGGTTGGCTTATATCGCCAGTTCTCAACGCACCATCACGCATATGCATGAGATGGAAACTTACCTTGAAAAGGGTGATTTTTGAGAGCTTATGGAAAGTTTATTTCTAAAAAAAAACACCCAAAATTCAGATAACTGCATGAAATATTTATTTAAATCCATAGTACGGTTCAAATAATTTAATGTTTGAAGATTATTTCAGGCAAATGTTGACCGTGACTGCGCCTCAAATTTTCCATCCGCTTAGTCCAATTTTGGCATACTCTTGCCATCATTTCGGCCGATAGCTCAAGAATAAATGCTTCAATGTTGTCCTTCAGTGCGTCATATCCTCACAAAAAACAGTCTGAAGGCTGTCAACTGCCAAGTCCCGAACGAGAAATAAAATCGTCTCTCAATGAGTCCATTGTTATGCGCGCTGTGTGGCAGGTGGCATGCAAGTCAAGCTCTTTTGAATTTTGGGTAAAAAACCTTTAATATCATCTCAGGTCCAATGATGCCACCCGCTTGTAAAACGCTCCAAAGTGTGACTGTTTCCGGATGCATTGGTAGCCCTTGCAATTCTTCTGGCTGATCTTTACTCTAAAAGCGACAATTCTGCTTATTTACACATCCATTAAGCGTGATGAGCTTTCTTAATAGAGCAAGCATTTTGATATAAAATGATAAATGAGAAAATGAAATTAAATTATAGACCAAACTAAGGATGTTTGACACTGAAACAAGACGCGCGTTAGCTGTTTAAACCAGTTTTGCCAAAAGGGTAATAGCTAAAAAAGCACCCTCTACATATGACAGCGACATTGTTTAATGACAACACGTTCTGAAGTGCGCGATTTATAAGCATAACATTTTGCCATTTTAAATTTTTCATCATTTCGGTTTTACTATTGCAAGCACGCACTGTGAAGCAGTTTAAGGGATATCTCAATGCAAAGGCAGCTCAAAATATTAATGAAATTAAATTTATGCGTGCAATTTAGAGAATGAACTTTTGAAATTTTTAATAAATTAAAGGAGTAATATATTTTCTACGAAAAGCTACAAATATAGTAAGTCAATAAGAACTAAAGTGGGCCACATTTTGACTTAATCTTTTTTTTTCGGAAAATTTGTTATCAAATAACGTCGCTCTTTTTCCGTACTCTTTGTTTGGGGTTAATTGGAAGTACCAAGTATAGAGATCACTTTGCTTTTCAATTGTGGACCGAGTAACCGAAGTAGAAGCTCTAGGCAATAGTGACTCTGCGCTGGATTTCCGGGCAGACTTTTGACTATCAAGAACAACGCAGATATAGTCCTTATTGAGCTTATGGAACTTTTGGTGTAACCTCACATCATTTTCCACAGTCCTGTCTAAGGCTGCTTTAAGATCGACGAGTGGGTGGTGGCCTTTCCAAGATTTTCTGCATTTTTATGTTGTATTTTCCAAGTCGAAATCCGCACCAATAAGATCATTATCATCATAGGGAGTTTATACTATGGTGGTTGGTACAGACTGGCAGCTCCCTTTTTTTACACTAAGGATCCAATCTTGGAATGCAGTTACAACGTGGTTCTGTACATATTTCTTAATCTAGCGTCCATATCGCGCACCCTTGAAACTCTCGCAAAATATTGTAAGCTACCCATGTGTGCCTTGGGGCACGGCTGAAGGAGAAGAGCCTTCAGTATTTAGTTTTTGCTTCGAGAAATAAGGCATCGTTCTGAGTAAAAGTCATTTTGACATATTTACTGAAGACTCGAAGTGTGAAGATAGATTAAGTAGTTGAATTCTTTCTTTTCAACTTCTCCTCGATGCAATCTGATCCGCTGTATAATAAATATACTTGCTTTTAATAGAAAATTAAATATTTAGATATATAAGAAAGTGAAATTTCAATTAAATAAACTGTCTTAATGAACATTGGATAATAACGAACACGATTTTATGACACAACAAACTTCCTAAGAAATTCTGTCTTTAGTGGCTACCCACTGTGAGCTGCAAACAACTAGATAGCGTTTTTTTTTAATCTAAACACAGAAAAGCAACTTTACAAAAAATAACTAAAAAAACAGAAAATCAATAGCATAAATAGAAATAAAAAACAAACACATGCAACAAGAAAGAAATAACTACTTCTTGGCATCACAGCCTTGCCTACTTCTAGGCGCAGCAACTTTTCTGCAACGTGCCTCCGCATAACAACCACAAATAAAAGAATTTTAGTTAAGCATGAAGATACACACGTCAGCTGGCGATAATGACGGCATGCATGAGCGTAGCGGAAAAAATACAGAGAAACAAAAATTAAAAAAGAGAAAGAAAAATTGCGTAGAAAACACAAGAGGTGGAGCAAAATGTATAGCACATGAATGGTAGTGACATTAGAAGTTTGGTAAAAACAAGAAGTCGGAAGACAAGAAAAGCAAAAAAAATAATTAATTATAATATGTGTAAGTAGGTAGAAAAATACTCAAGTTTTTTTTTGCAAAATATTAGCATATTTTCCAAAAAAAAAATATTAATAACAATAACAAAAAATGAAAAAAGATCCGCTACTCCAAAAGACAAAAACAGAAAAGTTTTCCGAAAGCTCTGCTTTTTGATGCTATTACTGGCATTGTTATTGTAAATTATTTTAAATTTTTTCTGTTTTGTATATGTATTTTTCTTTTTCATATTTTAACTGTCACGAAAGTTATAATTTCGCATTACAAGGTGCTACTTACATAAGTAGTCTTATGTATATTCCCACAGCTGCGTCAAGATATTGTATCGTATTTAACTGCTGCATTTATGGTTGTTATGTTTTATTTTGTTCATATTATATTTTATTCATTTTTTTATGTTTTTCTGGTTTTATTTTATTTCATTTCATTTTATTTTATTTCCTTTTTTTATTTTATTTTATTTCAGTTTAATTTAATATATTTTATTTATATCATTTCATTTTAGTTTTTTTTATATATATTTTATTTTATTATATTTTATTTTATTTTATTTTATTTTATTTTATTTTATTTTATTTAATAATTATTTTTATTTTTAAATTTTTTTTATATTATTTTGATGTACTTTTTATATTTAATTTAGTTATTTTTTATCTTTTTTGTTTTATTTAATTTAATACAATTTTATTATGTTTTTTACTTTCGCCCAAGAGAAATAGAAAAGTCGTATGCATAACTGATTTAATATTCGCATCACATTTGTACATTTTCATCTTATTATTTTTCTTAGTTTTAATGTGATATGCGCCTGCTGTGTATGTGAAAATTGTATCTGCTTTAGCTTTAGCTATCTAGCAGCGAGCCGTTGCCGAAGTGTGGTGAAGACTGAGAAGGTTGACAGATAAGTGGCGGTGCGCCAAGTAAGCAGTGTAGAGACGAGTAAAAACTCTCAGCTAAGTTAATACAAACAGCGAAGGGGCTTTTGACATTGATTACGCAAATGACTAAAAAGTGACAGAATTTCATAGTAAAACCTCAGGATAAACAAAAGAAAAGAAAGAAAAAAACTGAGACTAGATACATTGCAAGATAACGTAATATTAAAAATATTTTTTACAATGAGTTGAGTAATACGCAGTGTAGTTCCAAAATTATATTTACATAGTTATTTTCGGCTTCTTTTCAATAATATTCAGGCTGCTTGGAATTTGTAAATTTTGTTTAAAATATAAGCAAATGGAAAAAAAAGTTAGTAGAAAAGATTCGTCGTAATAATTTTACTCCAATATATTTAAAGTGTAGTCCATAATCTAGGCATCATAGAAACGCGAACAATCTTTATGTGTGAAAAAATAACTCATCTTGAGTCATGGCTAAAAAAGGGGAGCTACAGTGTTGCCACGCCGACATACGCTGTTTCAGGACTCGCTGAAGTGTAACTGCATAGACGTGCATCTGTGAGGGGCAGCCCGTTTTAAAGCAAGTTGCTCGGTATATTGTATTTTTAAACCGATGTTATGTCCTGGGTTTGAGATCAGCCAGTTTACTACAAAGTGCATATGAAAAAGAACACCATAAAGCAGCTTCCTCTTAGAGTACTCGTATGATATTGAACGTGTCAGAGTTTTCGTAAAAAAGTTGACTTATTCGATTTCCCAAGAAAAATTCCTTTTTGACATAACTACAAACTAATTAGAGAAAAATTTTTTAACAATTTTTTTTCACTGACATGCCTTTCACTTTTACTATTTAACTTGCACTTTCATTTCAGCTGTCATACATTTTCTTTATTCATACGCGTATGCATAAATGCAAAAAGGCGCATTAAATTCTTAATTCCCCCCCCCATCAGGCACACAACACATACGTGCAGAACTTTTTTGTAATCGAGCCTTTGGAAAAATAATAAATGCAATTTACAATAATAATTTATGTGCAAATACACAGAGTCATAGTATTTATGTATGAGTGTATAGTAAGCCTTATAAGTTGTAGTATGTGTCAATATGTCTATTTATATATACATACACACGTGTATGTATATTTATTTATGTTACTAACGCATTCTGTTGCATATTTCTCATATGTTCTCGAATGAAGGTTTCATGGATACGCCATCGTGACATACACATACTCACAGTAGGTGGATATACGTATACATCAGATCAGCGCTTTCAGGCCACGCATCATCAGGATACCGATGACTGGACGTTACAAATAAAATGGGCACAAAAACGTGATGCGGGCATGTATGAATGTCAAATATCAACGCAGCCGGTGCGCAGCTATTTCGTGCGGCTCAACGTTGTGGGTGAGTAAAGTCAAAATAAAAAAAAGTAAAGTAATAAAAAATCAAGCGAAAAGGGGTAGACGAGTGCAGGCAAATTAATGCTATTAATGCCTTGATGCGCACACATACACTCTCATTTGCATTGATGGCGATTTATTATACTTTCATTTACTTTTCTCTGCATGGATTTATTTTATGAATGTGAAATTCCAGCATTTGCAGTTGGATTTAATAAATGTAGTGCCTTATCACTTATCATTCTCACATCTTAACTGTCAACCTACGGCTCTTCCCTTAACTTTTGCTCCATTACGCAACGCTTCACTTAGCTCCAGTAATATTTCCTCTTTAACACACAATCCGCTGTGTAATGAAAGTAGTTTTATTTTCCAAACTTCGTACGTTTTGACAATAATTTCAGTTTATTTTAACGCAATTTCTTCTCTGCGTTTCTTTTGTGCATAAATTACACACTAACAAAGTTTTTTTTTAGTTTTCGCATTTACTTTCTTACTACGTACTTACAACTCACGACTAGAAAGTGCGTGCTAATATTTGCGTTAATGTTTGTGTACGCATGCATTAGGGTGACTTTGTAATTATTATTATTTTTGATATATTTATGGGTCAAGAAAATATACTTTGCGAAGATGTATTTATTTAATTTTGTGATTTGAAATCGCACTTGGTTCAGTTTCTTGCAGATAAAGGTCAAAAGTTCTTGTGAGCGTTGCTTAATGATGTTGCCGAAAAGATAGCGAAAGCTCATCCAACAAAATGGAGATTACATAATTGATTTAAGTCTGTTATACAATTAAAAGTAAATTTTACTTTCCTTTAAAAAATCGGCGGTTTTTTGGGGCAATCCAATAGTTACGTATACGCCCTGGCGTGCCACTGAAAGCGTTCTTATACCTTATGGTAGCAACAAATTCGACGTTAGTTTTATACGAACTGGTTTAACTTACTTTTTCTGACATAATATAATTTCTTCCATTTTTTAAATTTATTTTCCATTTAAAATGAAAATTTTTAGGGTAATAAATTAAAAAAAACATTAGCGAAAATGTTGAGAATTTAATTTGCTTGCATTTATTAACAATTAGAAATAAATTTAGCTTAATTCATATCAAAAAAAAATTAAATGCAATTTAAGTCATATTTTGCGCTTTCGAAAATAAATAAAAGCACATTTAAAATAATTTCTTCGTGAAATTCATTTTTTCATTACAAATTTTGGATTTTGGCATTATAGTCAAAACACTACATCGTTCAATGACTGCTTTTCAAACTTCCATCCGTTTGAGGCGATTTTCGATAATGGGCGGTAACTATGTCATAACTTGACGACTGTTGATTCTCTATAGCCACAGATTTGTTCGTTTAAACACGGTCTTTCGCGTAGCCCCACAAAAAAAAGAGCATGATCTCATTGACCAACTGACATCACAATGGCGAGAGATTACGAGGCCATAAGCTCCTTAAATCAATAATGCCATATCGGATGTGTGGCACGTATACCATATTGTTGAAACCAAGTAATGTTCAAGTCATGTTCTTCAATTGCATGTCAATAAAAGTCGATTATCGTAAGACCATAATGCTCCGAATTGGAAGTGACAGTGTCACCGTTGTCGTCAAATCACACATCCGGGATAAACAGCACACCAGTCAATACCTTTTTTAAATGACACCTCATCAATTATTAGCGGACTCTCAGATCCCCAAATTTGGCGTTTCCGCTTATTTACATACCAAACTGATTGAGAAAATTTTCTCCGCAAAATCACCTTTCACTGCTTGTTGTGCGACGGATGTGCGGTGTTAGGCGAAGGCAGCTGACTTTAGTTGTTGTGTGATATGCAGTCTGTATGGATGCGGGCGTAAATAAGTACAGGGTTAAGTAAGTTCATGTGCCCTAAAAAAGTTTCAGCTCTTGAGATCGCTTAAATATAGACACACTTGGAACTCTATCTTACAGTAGCGATACTTGAGGTGGACCACCGAAACGGTGTAACAAAGTCCTTACAGTGTCTGTAACCATTACAAACTCTTTAAATTTATGTAAAACTTTAACAATTTCTTGAGTATTTAGACGATTAGATGTATCATAACCTCCTATTCAAACACGAAAAGTTGCCACGTTTGGATCAGATCAGATTTTTACAATTTTATTTTTTATTTTATTTCTATACTTTCATTTGTATGAAGTATTATTAGGCATCATATGGGTGACGCAGTCAGATGTTTTTATGGAGAACTTATTGTTCTATAACAGTGCTCGACATAGATTCACAATAAATATACTTCCAATATTTATTATTATTTATTTTTAAAATTCTATCTGGCTTTGGTTACGTATACGCACCGGTACACTATGAAAATAATTTTTGTTTAATAATTGCTTAAAATTAACACATTAACAGTGGAAATTTAATGGTAATAAAAAAACCTTTCTTAAAAAGTATTTTATTAGCAAGCTCGAGGAAAATATTTAATAAGGAAGCATCATTTAAATTTTTTATAAGAATTTTCCATTTTAATCAAATATTTTCGGCTCGTATAATAATCCCATTTAATGTCTCATATGAAAATAAATGGAATTTTAACTATAAATTTTTACAAGTATTATTGTATTTTCTTATTTTGGAAGAAACTCGATTTTTTATGTACTTTTAATTAAATTGCAAATACTACTTGAACCGCAAGAAATATTAAACCCCAAAAAAGAGATTTAGCAAAAGTAATAAATGTCTTTTAGCAATGATTTGAAGCCGAAATTTAGAGCTTCTTTAACTATTTTTTATTTTTGGGCACAAATCGAAAATTGATAGCAAAAGCAACCAACCTCATGAGAGTTTAAATAAATTTATGTATTTGTTTATTTGCCTCTTCTCCTTTACTTTCCTATTATTATTTTTATATGTCACATCCGTGCTTTTATGTCACTGCCGGTCAACCAACTTATAACCAACAACCCACAACTAGCATAAAAAGAATAAAAAAAAAAAAATCCGGTCATTCATTCATCTACTACTTTTCACACACACACAAACACAAACACAAACACAAACACATACTTTAAACCTTCAGCCATTTCCACCCCCTTCTTAACAACAGCCTTTTTTTGACTTTCTTCAATTGCGTGCAGCCACTTATTTATACACTTCTAACTATTTATCTCTGTTTGTGTTTGTGTTTTTTCTTACTTATATATATATGTACATCCACAGTGCCAACAGCGACCATCCTTGGCGGACCCGACCTTCATGTCGACAAAGGCAGCACCATAAATCTTACATGCACAGTGAAATTCAGTCCAGAGCCGCCGGCCTACATATTCTGGTATCATCATGAGGAGGTAATTAAAATTTACGGTTACATTTGGTTTCTGTGTGTCTGTGTGAAAGACATGGGCTGGCATATTTACGCCACTGTCATATGCAAGACTCACACAGGCGCACATCAATATGTTTATATACGTATAAAAGACCTCTCGCACAGAATTTTATGCATGTAATGGTTATATTCTCTTTAAAGGGTAGTTATGTGTCATTCTTATTGCTTTTCATAGATATCTACACCTTTCTATGTAAGTGTATATATATTTTAACAAGGCTTGGCATTGGCATACATACATATGTACATTAAATTTGGTTAATCTTTGGTTAAGTAATTTCAAAATTGGATTAAATGAAGTGCAAGTTTAAGAGAAACATTTTGTGGGGGCAAAATGCATTAGCAGTATTTATTGGTTACATTACTTGAAGAGGCTTTGCCCTGTTATATGATGTAAGTGGCTTTGTCTTTGATTTTGTGAGTGAGTGATGACATGATGTTAGAAGAAATATGAAACAAGGTTAAAATAAAATAAAATAAAATAAAATAAAATAAAATAAAATAAAATAAAATAAAATAAAATAAAATAAAATAAAATAAAATAAAATAAAATAAATTGAAATAAAATAAAATAAAATGATATTAAATTAAATACAATAAAATGAAGTAAAATAAAAACAAAATAAAATAAAAATAAAATAAAATGAAACATGGAAAATAGAATAAAATAAAGACATATTAAAATTCAGAATAGTAAAAGAAGGAAAGAAAAATAATAAAATAATATAAAACAAAAATAAAAGGATATACTCTAATCTAAAATAAAATCAGAAACAAAATTGGTGGGAACGCAATATTCCAACATTCTTTGCTTTTCAGCTGCTTTAGTAATTCAGAAAAATATTTTCCAATTAGCATCATAGCATAAAGTCCATAAGTAGAAATAGTTAAATTTTTGTTTGCATTCAATACTAAGCATATTTCAAGAGAAAGTTTCTTTCACTACCAATACAATAATCGAAAAATTAAAAAAATTAAATAAATAATAAATTTTGTGAGCATCTTGTTAGCGTAGAGCAAAAGCAAAAACAATAAAAAAGGGAACAACATAATGCTCATTGACAGTGTCTCATGATAGCTTAGGGTTGGTAAACACGCTTTCAACGCTAATTAGATTCGCTTTAGAAAGGATTGTCACTTTCAGTAAACTCATAAATCTGTTTACTAAAATACAAGATGCCAAATATTCGCTGGCTTGAATGGTTGCAAAAATTTCCAACTCTACTGCAACAAAACTGATGACGCTACTTCTTGCCTGTGCTGACGACTGCCCGCTAGCCTGCCATTTAGCAATGTTAATTATATGCAAATATTTGTCTAAAAAAAAAAAAAACACAAACAAAAAAGGTGAAGATGGGTATAAATATGAAGGAGAAAAAGTTTACAATTATGCGAAAAATATGAAATGGTTAAAAGTAAAAAATTGAAAAGACAAAGAAACTGAACTAATGAAGACTGGGAGGGAGAAGGCGTAGATAGAAAAAGGATATAAATCACACCAACCCTGCTGTAAATATTAATTAAAATTCAAAGGAAACCGGAAGCGGCTGATAAGTGCAAGGAGTAGGATGCTATAAATAAAACAAACAAGTATTTTGTAGATAAAAATCTTGACAGGACAAGTCTAAGATATTAAAAAAATTAACAACAATAACAAAAACCATGCAAGAATTTGAAAAAAAGTAGAAAAAATAAACGCGCTAACTGAAAGTGGCAGAAAAATAAATTTAAAAAATATTTAATACAAGCTAAATGTTAAGCTTTTTACGTATAAATTTTAACTTATTTTTTCTATTCGCTCATAAAAGTCATCGCACCAAACTAAGCGACAAATTACGCTACTAATGAGGGTAACAGCAGCGTTGGGGTCGAGAGTTGAGTCTTTTGTTAGGTAATTTAAAGAGGTTTGTTTACTTAACTCTCTAAGTGGTTGGCTGCAAATGGGGTTGAGTATATGCTCAACGCATATTTCGTTTTCCTTGGGAACATATTTTACAAATGAACAATACAACCAGAAAGGGACTCATAGTTTTAGTTAAATTAGAAATTCGTTTGCATATTAAATTGGAATAAATTATTTATTTAAAAATATAATTACTTATTTACTACAGAATAACTATAAAACTGCTAAATATTCCAAAACCGTTTTCGCCTAAATGCATTTTGGTTGAGGATTTGAGTAGCAGCTTTTTAAGCTCATGCAAGTTTGAAGTTGGAAACTTAAATAAAGCCACGCCCGTATTTAAAATCAGTTGGTTTTCAAATTGTTTATTTTTCTAATTGAGCACGTTCCGCTTTTGTTTAAGTTTCTTCTTGATTTATTTAATTTTTTTTTTGGAGCATAATGAGCCTGCTCTACGGCCTGGGTGCGGCCGCTCACAATCGAAACTTCAGCTCTCTTTTACTTGACTTTTACTGACAACTCAAATTCTTCAGAATTTATGCTAATTTTTTAGTGTTTTTCGTTCATTTTACGCCCCAGATTTGATGTTCCCCTTTTGACCTATTCAGCGAGAAATTTCGCTATTCAAACTAGCATATTTTTGAACCCTGTCTACATAGGGTTTGTCTTGTAAGTAAATTTCCAGTTGGTCATGGATAACTTAGCTATTTTAAATGTTAGCATATTCTTCTTAACTTGAATCCAAGCCCTGGCCGTCGTCCACAATGTTGGCTGTCCCGCAAAATTTCTAAAAAAGTTACCTGCTGGCGGTTGATGCTTAGTAGATTGTTAAAACAACCGAAAACCTTTCAAATGGCAGAGAATTTTATCTCAACGTTTTCGTAACCACCTATTCGGTAGATTCAGTAAATTAGCTATTCCTGTATAAGACAGTAACCATAAGAATCGAAGAGGATTAATTGAGTACTTGCACCTATTGGCAAGAGAGATCCTGCGCTGGATTTCAAGATTAACGTTATTATTGGTGTTAAAGCTAGTACCCAGATAGGCGAAATTATCGACCACTTGCCAACAGTGACGTGGGAGCCAAGTCAGGAAGCCGATGGTTGTTTGTTTGATAACAAGAGACCTTTTATGCGATGTTAAGAAGGCTCATTCCACGGTTTCAGACTGTGGAACGCCTGTTTTGTTGATAGGGCAGAGCGCATTAAGGTTCCTTGCCGATTTGTTCTTTTTCAAGCGGGCAAATTTTTATGCTAATTTTCCATAGTCGGGCAATGCCACATTTGTTCTATCATCATCGATTGGAGAATCGGTTTCAAATCATTGTAGGTCAGAAATTTCTAAGAAAGGAATGAAAGTACAATTTTGACACTACAGTTGAAGGTATCGAGGAACATTTCGGTGCATTGAAACTCAGTGAACAAAATTAATGGAGACATGTACGAACGCTGGACTATCGCTGAAGCATAAAGAGAATATATAAGCCCAATTATTTGCGATACAGGAAGGCCTTTTTGGAATGGAATAGGATGGAAGTATCCAATTGGTACTACCCTGACTTAAGTGTATTGATTTTTCCACTTGGATATATACACCTGTCAAGAAGGGACCGAAACATAGTTAGAACCATAGTTTTGCGTAAAATTTTGTAGTAAAAATACCTTTTTCAAGTCATATCCGGCTATCCTCCATTCTTTTTGTATGAAAACAATTCAAAATGCGACTATCTTCTAAGAGATCGTCTTTCAGGACGTCAAAGTCCTAAAAGGTCATAAAAATTAATTACAAAACAAAATCGATTAATCAAAAGTCGTAAGTGCTTGCTCTGGTGCTCGAACGCTAGACCACAAGTAATTGAGAGAGAGAGGGGGGAAAGAAGCCGGGAGTGGGAGGAATGCTAGTTCTGCGAAAGTTACCAGCGTAATTTACTCAGTTAGACTCAATTAACCTCACCCATTAAAACATCTATCAAATAAAGAAAATAACAATTATGAATTCAAGATATTAACGATGAATGCTTCACAACAAAAGCAATATATAAACATAGTAACTATGTACATTTAACATTTGTTTAATTCCCACGCAACTTACCACATCACAACGTCTTTAGCTTGTGGGCGGGGGAGGGAAGAGGGGACGTCAACTAAAAAAAAAAAAAAAACTTCAACGCTTAATCGTTGGACAAATTTAATGCTTATAAAACTTTGCCGACGAGATTATTAGTTTTTGCAACAGTGAAGTGCCTTTAAGAATTTTCTCGGAAACTCATACAAACATATTGACACATATAATCACATATATATGCATCTACAGAGCAAGCGAGTGGGCGTCAACAATATGCCAAGTGGATTTCTGCGTGTTTCTGTGTACTTATTTGTATGCGTGTTAGCTCGTTCGTATCCTCAGGGCGGCTGCTGCGGCTATGCCTCTTTTGGTGGCACCACAATAAACTTTCTTATCGGCTCTGAAAGGATGTGATAGGATATGCCAGCAACACTAACAGCATATTTAACAAATAAGCGACAATGACAACGTGAATAACAATAACAACAACAACAGCAACAACGGAATCTAACTAGAAAGAAAAAAGCAAAAAGAAAAATAAAACCAAAGAAAAAATCATAATATAAAACAAAAGTTGACACATAATTTAGCTACAATAAAATAAACAGAAGAAACAAATTAAAACCACAACAAGTTGTTGACTTCGGCGGCAAACAAGTAGGCAAGGGGAGTGAATGTGGGTAAGCTAAACAAACAGAAGCGCTCAACCGCCCGCATTAGAACTTATCTTGCATATGAATCTTATAGATACTTGAATATATTTATACAACAAATCCATACATACATACCTACTTAGAGAAATACACATTTATTTATAAATATGTTTAAGTGTATGTAGCTGCTTGAGCTAATGCTGTGGTACGACTTTTGCTTAGATTCAAGCACGCTTGAGCGCCACTAGTGATGGCACAAGCCACTCAAGCCGCAAAAACGCTGCCTAATCTTGTTTTCTAATCACAATCAGCAGCAGAAACTACTACTTACCGTTACAACTGCTACAGAAACAATGGGCGTCGTAAATAGCTACTAGAAAAATATATATCTCAAAAGTAAATATGAATAACGAAGACATAGTAAACAGAATATCATGGAAGGGAAAACTAGAACAAATGGAAATGCCGCTGTCAATGCAAACGGAAGAGCCTTGACAACCCCCAGCCATCACAGCCACAACACAAACAGCAAGCTCTTCATGAAAGACAGTAGGAAAACAGTAGACACACAGCTAAAGCCAATGGCGGAAGTGCTTATGAACCATTAAGTGAGTGTGTGTGTGCTGTAAGGCGCGGTTGTAGGGTAATTGTTAGCAAATCGAAATCAAAATCATTATAACAATCGAAAATGTAAAAGTTGAGTGTACTAACAATATTCAAATGTGATGAGAAGGATGGAGTAGATATGAAAATGATAAAGAAAAAAAAAATTGTACTCGCACCGGATGGTGAACGTTTTCGAAGCGATGGGGATTTTTTTGGTATTATTTTGTTTGATTTGATATTACTTTTTTTAATAAATTTATTTTAATTTATATAACTTATTTTATTTTATTTTATTATATTTTATTTTATTTTATTTTATTTTATTTTATTTTATTTTATTTTATTTTATTTTATTTTATTTTATTTTAAAAAAACGAAACAACAGAAAAACAATTTGCTTCCGAAGTGCTTCGGTATTTAACGCCAAACCGCCAGCCGCCAGCAATCACCTAGCATTTCACTCTTGACTGCATATTTCTGCCAAATTCTGTTGTAAATTTTTTCCACACCTCAAGCAGATCGCTACAATGAGATCTTAACTAGCATTAAACGCTAACGGCAGAGAAAAATTAGCAATCAGCGCTTGCCGGCTTAGAAACAGATAGAAACTTTTGCGCTACCCGCGCCCCCACCGACTAACTGTATAAGGTTTTGCTATCCGCCTTATAGCCTTGCGCTTCAGCTTTGTGTGTTCTCATTGTTCTGGTGCGCTTCATCACAGTCACGCTCGCTGGTCATGCGCAATGCGCACGTGTAGTTTTTTTATATATTTTTTTTAATTTTTTAAAAATTTTGTATTTCATTTGTAACTACAGACAACATACAGCATGGCATAGGTAAATAGTTCTATGGCCGAAAAAGATGTTAGTGCTACTGCTTGTTGCTGAGATGCTGCTGCCGGCTTTTAACAATGTTGTTGCATGGCAGTTGCCCCAGTAGATTATCTGTCTGTCTGTCCTTCCGTGCTGCCCTCATCAGTTTACAAGCTCATCTCTCAAGCGTCTTCATTTTCCATTTTCCTCTACATAGACACGAGTTTGTTTGTGTTTGGCATTCTGTCTGCGGTTTGGTGGTAGAAGCCACCAGCAATCGCTTGTTGTGTGCTACAAAACGTGTTGTCTTGATTTATGACTTTAACCCAGTTATGACACAGAGCCATGCATATACACACATACATGTATGTACCTATGTATGTATGTACAATTGCAATTGTTGCTGCTGCAGTCAGCCATTGTCATTGTTACACCGATGGTTGCCTCTTTATTTGCCTTTGTCTTTNTGATTTGATTTGATTTGATTTGATTTGATTTGATTTGATTTGATTTGATTTGATTTGATTTGATTTGATTTTATTTGATTTGATTTGATTTGATTGGATTTTATTTTATTTTATTTTATTTAATTTAATTTAATTTAATTTAATTTAATTTAGTTTAATTTAATTTAATTTAATTTTATTTTATTTTATTGTATTATATAAATTTTTGTTAAACGATCAAACGATGGTTTGGTTAGTGCAAACAAATTTATTTCACTTTTTGCCCAAGTTTTGGCTAAATATTAGAGCATCTTCAGGGGCTCTTAAGCAGCATTGAAAAAGAAAACATAAATAGACACTAACGAGAAAAAACTTACAAATATCAAAGAGCTGGGAATTATTTAATAAATAACCATAACCATATCCATTAATACTATAATATATGGTAGCTTAATTGTTTAATTAGAATATTTTATTTAGTTTTTAATAAGATTTTTTTCATCTTTGTATTTAAACTTTTATATATTATTGCATTTTATTTGGTTTTTGCTTTACTTTTCTTTGTTGACTTTTATTTTAATGAATATATTTAATTTTTAATGTTTCATGCTTAACGTTTTTTTAAATTTATTTTATTCTATTTCCCTTTTTTTACATTTCGTTATTTATTGATTTTTTTATTTTGCACTTATTTAATTTTTTTTATTTTAACCGCGCCGAGAGTTGTGAATTCTCGAGACTTGATAAAGAATGGGTGGGGTAGTGAATGAGGTCAAGCCGAAATAGCTCCTGTCATCAAACAAACAGTCATCGCTCTCGCGATACGGCTCACACGTCTCTGTTGACAGTCATAACTTCGAGGTCGTAGATAATTTCCTCTTTCTTCTGCATTAACACTTATAATAACGTCAGCCTATCAGGTGCTACTTTAGAATGGGTAGGCAATTGAAAAATAAAGTCTCGGCGAACGAAAACCAAACTCTATAAGTCGCTCATCATACCAGTTCTGCCCAATGGCGCAGAAACGTGTACAGTGTCAACATCTTATGAGTCGGCTCTAGCAGTCTTCGAGAGCAAAGGTTTGCCTAGACAATGGTACAATAAGCTCTATGAGCTATACGGTGATATTGGCATAGTTCAGCGGATGGAGAGACAGCGGCTACCCTGGCTAGGTCATGTCAACCGAATAGATGAGAGCACTCCAGCTCTGAAAGTATTCTACGCAGTACTCGTTTGTGGAAGCAGAAGAAGAGGAAGACCTTCAGTTATTTGGAAGGATCAGGTGAAGAGTGACCTGGCTTCACATATAATTTCCCACTGGTGCCAGACAGCGAAAAGAAGAGAATAATGATTCGGCTATAAACTGTGCCAACGCCAATAAAGCAGATGATGAAGATGTTCGTTAAGCTTTTCAAATGTTAAAAGTTGTCAGGGTAATTGCGTCATAATAGAGGGAGAAAGTCGCTAAGCAGATAGTGCCTGAGGCAACAAATATTATTAAAAATGTATTTATAGAAAAGTATTTTATCACGAATGTAAGCACATATGGCAAGATTGTAGGAAAAACGTCTAGATGGTTATGGTAATAACTCGTGAGTTTGATTTTTCTGTTGCAGTATCTGCTATGTATGTTTTTTGAAATATTTTTTTCCATTTTCGCAATTTTCCCCTTCTCAGCATTATGTTGGCGAAAGTTAAATGTGTCCAGAAAATGCCCAAAGTAAAAGTTGATGCGAGCATTTCTGATACCATCAATATCGAGTTTATTAGTTGTTATTACATCGTTGTTGTTTGCGAATGAAAATAATTATAATTTTATCCTTGAACATAGCTTTGTGGTGAGCTTAGGAGCTTATTACAACAGGTTTTTACTTGCCTAAAATCCTACTATGCTGGGGCTCCGGCTTTTGTGATGGTCAAGTGTCCTTCCAAATATTGATCTGTTTTATTTGTGGAAACTGAATACTTTTGTTTTAAGTTTCGTAATAAAAAACCTTATATAAACATATTAAAAATTCGAAAATTTGGTTTATTTTTACAGAAAAAAATTTTGATATTTTCCATGCAAAAACTCAACCTTTCGTATGTATATAAAAATTTGCACTTGTCTCTTGTTCTACAATAATAAGGGCATAACTTTGGCTAATTACTATGTTAAATCCCTACTTATTTATTTTGCAGTTCGAATTTGTCTATATTATATCCTTTAAGTATACTTATTTACATACATATTTTAGATATGCATATTAATACTAATTAACTGCAAATTAGCATTTTCATAATTTCTCACACTTTTCTCTATGCTTCTATATCTGTATACGCTGTCCGTTGCGCCGTTTAACAGGTCATCAATTATGATTCGTCACGTGGTGGCGTTTCGGTAATTACCGAAAAAGGCGATGTTACGACATCGTTTCTACTCATACAAAATGCCGACTTGGCCGATTCGGGGAAATATTCATGTGCGCCATCGAATGCTGATGTGGCCAGTGTACGAGTGCATGTGCTAAATGGTAAGTACACAGAGACAAGAAATATTATATGTACGTATATTTATAATATGAATATGATTAGTTCATTGGAAATATAATTATATAGATGTATGGGTTTTAAAAATATTTATGGCAATACGTAGAAAATTATTGTGTATATGAGTAACATATCTCTCTCGCTCAGGTGAGCGGTTTACAAATAAATTTGAAAAGTCACTGCCTCTATAGACGCATGCATAAATAATCACATGTGTGAAACCAAATTGGCGACAGAAACGAAAAATGTCGAGCTGGGCGTTTATGGTTTAGAAATACACAGAAACGAAACCAACCAATAAATTAATAATAAAAAAACCTATTTTTCTCTGTGTTCTCTATGAGTAATGCGAAGCTTTGCATTAATCTACTCGTATATACTTACATGAAGGCTGCATCATAATGACGAATTTCAGTTAAAAAAAAAAAAAATTCTTACGATTCGGTTGAAACTTTGGGAAATATTATGGTAGAAGTAGTAATCAAAATAAATTCTACTTATTATTTACCCAAAACGAAAAAGTGTCGTTAATGTTAATATCGTTAATGTTACAGGTAATGTTAAGCGTTGACATGTAAATGTGCTGTTAATATCATACCAAGCAGCCATTATAAAGGTAATGTTAACGGTAAATAAAATTTCACTTTAAGCAAAAGAATTCTATCAATTCGGTTGAAACATTTGGAAATTTTATCGTTAAATTAGTTAGCAACATAAATGTTACTTCGATCACACCCGAAACACAGTGCTGCCGTTAATATTAAATCGCTAACAGATAATGTTAAGCGTTAACATTGAAGTGTGCTGTTAATATCATAGCAAGCAGCCACTTAAAAATTAAAGTTAGCAACATCAACACTTTCGGTTTGCTCCAATAGCATGGCGGCGAAACGAGACAAAATCCTTGCGTTAAGTATATTTTTCATATTATCAAACGAAAAGGCATCGTTTCGTTAGTTAAAAAATGTACCTCTGATCTATGCAACGAATCACCGAAATGTTTTCGGAAGTTTGGGGGGAAAGTTTAAAGGGTTAGAAATATAGTGAGCTAGAGACTCATTTATTCGAAGAATGTGTATTTATGGTTCGGTTTACATGAATTTTTTGGTACGATCTGTTTAAAGAAGTTCAAAAATAAATAAAATTTATAGATGTGCATGCAAGCTTAGTAATAGTCCAAAGGGAAGAAGTTTGTCTTGCGGAAATAGACAAAAGATCAGGGAAGGGATCATCGACGGACCGAAAATAATTGTGTATTTTTATTATTCCGTGGTTACAACTTGAGTGTGAATAAGCTTTCATCCGTACGGTGCAATTCGCTTATTTCGATACATAAATATTGATATTTACGAGAAAGACTTACGTAGTTAGATCAATTATGTAATACAATTTTCTTTAGTAATTCCTTATCTATCACCACATAACAATGCAAATTTTAATTAAAGAGAATATTTTTTATATTAAAAATCATCATGCTGTGCTCTGAGACAGCAATTTCCTTATGAATCAGTGAAAACTGTTTGCGTTATCGATTCATTAATTTATTAATCATTTTTTTTATTTCTATGGGTCAAGTACAATTTTAAATATATTTTGACATAAGCAAAAATAGACTTACATCATTTTCACTTGAAGTAACTCACACTCATGTAAACATTCCCACAATCATTGACGAGCAAAATACTACTGAGCGATGATTGCTTTGGAAGGGAATGTTGTACCATTAGCCCAATCGGTAGCCAGGCTTCGAGCTATAAACTCGTAGGCCATTAATTAGTTTTCAAAATGAGGCTTAGGGATCGATTGATAGTCAGGAGTCTTTTTGTGAAATTAGAAAATATGCAGAATGAGAAGAGCGAAGGATTAGTGTTTTCTGAGGGGAAAATGCTAACAATTGAGCAACGAGCATGTTTTGTGGAGAAACCAAAAGGAGAAAAACGGAAAAATAAAAAGAATGCCCACAGCAGCAGTTGCAAATAAGTCAGTGAGTAGTGGTGCAGTCAGACTACAAAATGTTGGCAGTGCCATTTTAGTACTGTGACAGCCATCACTTGCTGTTGCAACATTTCTGAAAAGTGCTGCCAGTATATATGCGTATGTATGCGTGTGTACATGTGCTTGAGTGTGTACTTGTAAACTGCAAGCTAAATAAACTGCATACCTCGAATTATGGCCACCACACATTGTTGGATAATTGGAGCATTGGAGCAGTAGCAGCAGCAGCAGAGGTGGCAGAGGCAGAAAGTTGGCCACAGCATGAGCAAGTGCAAGTGCGTTAGTCGCCGTATGTATGTGCGTGTGTGCGTGTGTGTGTATATGTCATAAGAATAGCAGCGAACATGCGGTGACTGGCAACAATGCACAGGCATTTCCATTATTCCGTCGCACTAGTGTATGTATATGTACATGTTCATTTGTGTGTGTGTGTGTACGTATGCTACGCCTTTACCTCGACGCATTGAGTCGGTTTCATGGCGTAGCAAATTCGGTAATACTTGTACAAAGCTATGCGCACCGGTCCGAATATCATGTTATGCACCTGTGCTTATACATACATACATATATATATATATTTGTATGTAATTAAGTGTGTGGCGCACAAGTTTGTAAATGTTCACATGTTCTTGGCACATTTCAGGCGCATACACTTAACCGACATTTTGCAAATGAGGTGAAGATGACATCACTTCGCTACCACGACCACAATGACAACTGACACCACCATACGTATATATGTAAATATACACCTATGTATGGATTTATATGGATATTCGCACTACTATATAAATGCTTGCATGTACGCTTCTGCGCTTGTAACATGCTCGTGTAGCATAACATCCGCATGGCAAACAAAAAAAGACAGATAGGTAAGAGATAAGTTCGGACCGGAAAGAGCATCAAATATCTGTAAAACCTTTTTAAGATGTATGCTCGGACTCATTACCCAGAGGAAAAGAGTTTTCAAATATTAGTTTGATTTATTTGTTGTTTTAAATATTATTATTTTTTATTTGTATTTAAATCAATTTTATTTTAGTTTGTTTTCATTCAATTAAATTTCATTTAAATTATTTTTACTGAATTACTGTAACTAAGTTATTTAAATTCAATTCACTTTTAAATCAATTTAATTTAAAGAGGTTTATTTAGATTTTATTTTTCCTTGATTTTATTTCTTTTTTTTAATTTTTTTAAGTTAGTTTAATGTTTTTTCAATTTAGCGTAATTGATTTTAATTGATTTTAATTTTTTTGTATGCTTTCTTAAAGTTTGTTTTATTTAAATCATACTTTCTTATGTTATTATATATACATATATATATATATATATCTATTTTATTTGAGTTTAGTTTAGTTTGGTTTTTATTAACATTTATATTTATATTTTTAATTATATACTTTAATTTCATTTACTTTTTTTGGAATGTTATTTTTTTTATTTATTTAATTTTATTAATTGTAATTTATTTTATTTTATTTCAGTTAATTTTTTTATTTTCCCTTATTTTATTTTAATTAATTTTAAAATTTAATTTTATTTTATTTATTATTTTATTTTAGTACTAGTTATTTTATACCATTTTATTTGTTTTTATTAATATAACTATTTCCAATTTTATTTATCTACTTTAATTACTTGTTATTGATTTTTTTTTTACTTTTTATGTAGTTTTATTTATTTCTTTATTTAAATTTATTTTGACAAATATAATTTTTTTATTTTGGTATTAGTTATTTTGTACTATTTTTTCTTATTTTATTTTATTTCACTAAATTTTTTGTGTTATTTTATTTTATATTATTATCATTTGTTTTATTTCATAATTTTTCTACTATAGTTTACGTTTTTTTATTTGGTTTTATTAAATTTAATATTGTTTTATATTATATAACTTTATTTTATTTTGCTTGAGATTATTTCCTTTTTTTGTTTTCAATTACTAGTTATTTTTTATTAGTTTATTTTTTTTCAGATTTCACTATTTTTTTTCCTTTTTTATCTCGCTTTGTTCTATTTTATTTGATTTCACTTTGGTTTTTTTTTTTAAATTTTTTTTTTTTTAATTTATAAGTTATGATACATTTTTTGATATCTTATTATTATTATTATTTTTTTTGAAATAGTTTCAAGTGAACAAAGTTATTACACAGTTGTCAATGATTTTCACGCAACCCCGTAAAACAAACAAGCACCGGTAAGTGCAATGTAAAAGCACTCACACACACATTTCCACTTACATACACATGTAAGAAAATACATCTATTTGAAACAGTGTTCCAACTCGATTATGCACAATAGGAACCGCCGCATCAACAATTTTGTGCGTGACTGCATGAGTGGCGTAAGCATGTCTACCTACATAGCCTACGCACATACATATGTACATAAGTTGGTTTTAGTACCTTCTGTTAGTTAGTGAATTGCAATTGCTGCGCACCGCACATGCAAGGTTTCAATGCAAGTCAGTATGTTTGTGTGTTTTTGTCTTGTTGGCTTGTGATTAACGTCCGTTTACCGAATTTAAGGTTAGCAGCCTCGCATTTTGCCGCTAATCATCATGCAGGCCTAGGCGTGTATCAAGGCATTTACATAAAGTTGGTGAGCTGGTACTCGAAATATCATTGAATGTCTGCGGATTGTTGTAAAATTTTGTGAACTCTTCTTCTGATGTATAGATATTGGTTTTTCGTGTTTAATGAAGAGTAACAGCAGCCTATATGTAGGCTATAATTTCAAGGTGCTGCATTATAATAAAAAACACTGCATTCAATCAGGCGTACTGTTGAATATTATGAAAATTTATGTCTATGAATAAAATTTAGCTGCAAAGTTGGAGCCGTTTTCACTAAGTTTTAAGTTGGACAAAGTAAGAGAAGAAATTTAAAATAATTTATACAAACTTAATTAGAAATAATAAAGAATTCGCTGGAGAAAAACTTATTTGATCAAGAATCTATAGAAAGGTACACTCCTCAATGAAATT